TTAGACGCTTGGGCAACGGGCGTGTGTGCTGGGTGTAGGCTGCAGGAATAACAAAGTCTGGGCGTTCCTCCGGGTACTGAAGTAGGCGGTTGTTGGTAAGATATCTCAGGATCTGCCCAATCGGGGCGTCCCGAATGAGAGCCGATACCATTTTGCGGAAGCGGGTCGGGGCTTTGATTGGTTGGGGTACTCTTATGTAAGATACAAGGGGTGGATTTTGTGAAGAAGGATGTTCTCGTGGTAGAGTTGGTGATGATGTTTGTATTGATTTGATGCAACTACAATGGAGCGACGGTGGACTACATTTATCTTGTATCCAACCCAGCTCTCCTTGGTGCTGCACAAGGCTCTACGGACTTGCTTGGTAAATCCATTGCGCCAAGGTTTGTAATGCGGACATGTTACAAAGCGCATGCGACTTTCTAATCACCGCACCAAAACCCTAGGTGGGGCAGCGAGTGGTAGGCTGGCAGATAGGAGAGGGGATTCGTCCATGACGTATCCACCTGCAGAATCAAAGTGGAAAGTCAAGTTGAAAAGCACATGCAAATTGCTAAGCAGGACAGCACGCAATCTGGTTGGCACGCCGAAAAAAAGAGTAATGCGGTGCTTGATCAGCATGCTGGCTCACTAAGCATATGCACGCACACGCGCTAGTCGCTGTTGGGCTAGTCAATGGCGTTAGAGGAACGTCGGCTTGTTGGTCCGGGCATAACTCCGCCAGCCCCCATCTTGCGCCATGCCAGTGTGACTGTTGTTATCACCCTGCCACCTGGACATGGCCATAGACTTGGTGAACGTGTCCAGGCCACCTTTTGATACACTACCAACAAAGCCGAAAAAAAAACCCCCCATCACGCCATACTCTTCTCTTTCAAGTCGTCTTCTCATACGGGTCAATCAATTTTATTGATGGATTTAGCGCCGCTAGTCTGCCAAGAGATACTTGCAGGACCTATCCGGATACGCAACATACCTGAACATTACAATGACTCTTTGCTAGGTGGTCTACGAAGCAGTTCTTCTGTCAGAGAATCTCGCTACCAGGTTTGTTCTGAATTGTCTAGAAATCAGCTGACCGTCGCCGACTAGTATCCATGCTCTCAAGCATTATCAATCATGAATTGCGTGTACTTACTCGTGCATTGTGCACTCATGACGGTCATGCGCTAGACTCAGCCGGGTTTTGACTCAGTACTTGCTCTCTTTCCTCGTGCGTTCTAAAAAATGGCGTTTCAAGTACATGTAGTTGCATTCCCAATGTTGCGCGTCCAATTCATTTGAAGTCTTGGACAGAACTCTTAGCTCTTGTCTTGATACCTTCTGGCGCACCGTGTTGCCGGCTCGTGGGGGAGTAAAACAGGGCAACTACACAGTAAAGCCAACACTACGTACTACTTGTATAATCAAAATGCATAATTAAACAATACACTCCTCTTGTGAGATCTCTAAATGTCCTGTAGAACGTGTACTGGTCTATATGGTAATTGAGGCTGTGATTGGGATTGATGTTCGGTGTAATATTTCGCCGGCTGCTCCAGTCCCATCCCTGCGTTGCCAAGGTAAAATCATATCCAAATATTGGTGGCTCCAATTATACCCTGCGACTGGATGCCCTTAGTCGTATATTCATACGATTACTGTAGTCTTCGCGCCACTAACATGACACACAAAGTCCGCGTATATGCCGGTGGCTAGAATGAAGAGAGTTGTCTTGAAGTTGTTGACTTTCAACATGTCTAGCAACTTATGAGTCCACTCTAAAGGGCCATCGTTGTACATAAACCTAAGTTTGTTTTTCTTTATGTAAATCAGCAATGGCTTTCCATAGGGAATGCCTCCTAGTGTTGATTAGAGAACACGCATTGTTTTGTACTACGGAGGCCATTGAGTGCCATCACATAATAACCCATACCCAGAGATGTACATATACCCGTCCCCGTTACCTGGGTTTGTCACACGATATCCCTATCAGGTAGGCGTCAATAAGATTAGCTTGAAAACGCAGTTGCCACAACGCATTTTTTTCGAGTGGCGAATTTTACAAGCCGGTTCTTGAACACCTGTTGCATATCTTCCAAAACCTGGTTCTCTCAATCAATCAAGGTATAGCTGGGGATATTTTTTCAGGGGATCGTAACAGAATGGATTGAACGGAGTCAATCCGTTACTCGTAATGAAGGCGTTTTTTTGATCAGCAGTTTGTGCAACTGGTGAAGTTTTTTGGTTCCGTGCTCACGAAACACACCATCCTCCAGCATGTCCTTTTCCCTTGAAACCATACAAACCGTGGTTGATGTCTACCCATCCGCTCGCTGTGCATGGATTTAAAATTCAGCCTGCTGCAACGAACTGAATACCCGCGACAAAGTTAAAGAAGGACCGAATTTGAACGAAGTCGTGCCGTCGTGCCGTGTCTGGGATTTAGACTAGCAGCTAGTACAACAACGGCCAGACTCATGACAGCACAGGAAACAGGTCATTGTACTCCGTATTATGAGATTTTAGTCCGGTGTCATGAGCGACTCGGTAAACTTAAAACAAGATACGCTAACCCAGCCCAGATCGATTGATCCAGGACATGTTCAGATCGTTCTCAGAAAACAATAGCAAAGGATCAAATATGTTCTCCCAACACAATCACACCAAGCACCACGGGCCTTGGCCCTGAATAGCTATATTTCTGCTATGTTTCGATCCATGCATTTTTACTATGTTACTACTGTATCTTTGTCTATGGCCATTACCTCCCGCACGACGATATTATGCAAGGGATTTTGCACTATGAAATACAGATCTTTTGAGTAAGCGCTATATCTATAAAGGAAGGACCCTTGGCACAATAGCGGCACGCTCCTATGGTCACCCTGACCTGTCTCCCAGCCAAATCCACGTGCATGGTCCGTGCTATATAAGCTGCTCGGCTACAACATGTATATGTGGTTGGAATACTTACACAGTAGCAAGCAAGCAAATCGCACGATTCACAATGCCCGAATTTAAAACATGTCAAGATCTGCCGCAGTCTAGAATCCGTAGAACAATACCGATGTTCTCTCTCTTACTCAGACATTTGTAGGCGGGTAAGCGAAGGCTGTGTGGCGTTTGATCGAAACACGGTGCGACGATCAGACCCCTGGTCAACTTTGACCATGTTCACTAGTATCATCGCAACCCTCTCCCAGGCATATTCGAGAGCATCGCTCTCCAACCGCCTTGCTTTTCTTCTGGTCATTTTTGCCAGACTTCAACCCGCACATCGGTCAAACATTTCGAGACGTCGTAGTCCAGAGATGGCTGCTTTACAGCGACCACTATGGCATCAAAGGTCTTCAGGACTTCCAATTCCCAGCAGCTGTTCTCGAGTTTCGGCACCCCGGGTAGAGCATCCTGGCTTACCAACGGATCGCAAAACATCAGATCGACTTCGCCCGATTGGCGCAGATAGTTCAGGAGTTGCAGCCCAGGAGAGTGGGACATATCCGACTGGCCTGCCTTGAACCCAACCCCGACGACGAGCACTCTAGGTCGATGTGCCATGCCGTGTTTGTGATAGCTTTCCTCGAGTATCAACTCTAGGAGGTGACTGGCGATGCGTGATGGCCGGGTCACCATACGCTCGTGCGCCTGTTGAAGCAGCGGGAGTTTGCAAGTCGACATGAGATATGCCGGATTGACGGGAATGCAGTGGCCTCCAATGCCCAGTGAGGGATACATAGGTAAGTATCCGAAAGGTTTGGTTGCGGATGTTTGGGCAACTTCAAAAGGATCAATTCCCAGTTCCTTGCAGGCGTCGGACATTTCGTTTGCGTAGGCTATGGCTATGGTCCTCTGGCAGTTCTCGTACAGTTTTGACATCTCGGCTACCTCTGGTTTGCTGACAGGAACGACAGTATCGAAAACAGTTTCATATAGTTTTGTAATGGCAGCCAACGACCCTGGAGCAACGTCGTCTAGACCGGAAAGAACCTTAGGTATCGATTTGGGCGGGGGTTCGACGCGGCCTGGATCTATTCTCTGTTCCAAAGTTAGTTCATCCGATTTCTGAGGTGTGTGGGATGTCTTACTTCGGGCGACATACCACCGAAGATGCCGCGAGCTTTAATCAGGGGCCCCAGTAGTTTCCTGGTCATTCCAACCGCAACGGTACTCTCTACCACCACTATAGAATTGTTTTTCACATGGGGGTAGAGCATGTCTACTGCACTGCGAATGTGCGAGGAATCGACTGCGCCAGTCAAGCTCAATGATGTCGGAACACAGAGTAGAAAGTGTGATGCGTTTTGCAAATCTCTACTGTCTGTAGAGAACTTGACATTGTGCTTCTCCGAGTACTTTAGACGCAGATTGTCTATGCGGGAAGCGGAGATGTCATATGCAATGATGGGGAAGGCTGAAGAGAAAACTTCCATGAGATGTTCTCCCACATAGCCCACCCCGATGATTGCGACAGTACTGGATGCGTCAGACTCAGCCATGGAGCGAATTATGGGATTCAGCAAGCTTTGGTTTGAGTTGGACGATATATATATCATGTTTGAGAAGATTAGAAGTCACTGTGTGAGGAAGAGCGCATTTCAAACGGACAAAGATCGGCGCCACACGAGGTCATGGTGCGATCGTGGTGAACTGATCATATCACATAGTTAGATCGGAGTAATTGTTTGCGATTATCTAGATGCATTGGGCTGTATCATACACGGCAGACATATACATTCCTTGTAGTCTAGAATGCGATAGGGCCGATGGTCAATATCAGTACTAACGCTATTTCCCGGACTATACTACGTCCGTACGGCCAAACGATGAACGTCTGCAGGTCTGCATCGGCTGCCACGGATGTGAAACCTCCACGATACCAGGCCTTGTAGTCCATTACCAAGGTGCCAAGGAATCTGGAGCCGGAGAAATAGCCCTCTCTGGCAGAAGGAATCAAGCAACACGTGGGTATCTGCTAGAGAGGCTAACAGGTAGGTCAATTTTTCCAAAACTCTTGCAACATGCCTCCCATGAGTATCCCTGTATTTGATTTGCCCTTGTCTTGAAACTTGAACAGTATATCTAGCAAGATCTCGTCAACTGATTTCAGACAAACACATTCAAACTCTTTCCTGTTTTCTGAAGCGCACACTGTAATTGAGAAGAAGATTTTTCCTTTTTATTTCTGTTGGAATTCATAACCTGTGCAACTGGCCACTTTCAAGATGGGTACGACACCTTTTGCCAGCACCATGGCTTGAGATGCTGTCATACTAAATGATATACTAGATTACCTACGGAAATGATCGTTTCCACTGTCCACCAAGACGCTACGCAGCGCAATTGAACATTTGCCTAGCGTCGATACCCGCCGATTGAGAACTCAGAAATACATGGCATATGCTGTTCTGATTCCTTTGAAGTGAGCAACATGCTCCCATATTAGCATACCATGCGGGATGGCGATTGCTGATTACTGCTACCTAGTCTGACCCTGATACACTTATTTTCAAACTATATCCGGAATTTCTGGTGGCTTTACCCACTGATCGCGCTGCGACCCGTGGTCGACTTCGTTGAGATGACCTCCATCCTCGTCTTTGGCCTCGTCAGGTACCTCCGACCGACGCCTCCCAAGGTTCCCGAAACACCAGAAAGCTTTGCATACCTCCTATGTTGCTACAATGAGACATATGAAGAGTTGATGGTCTCATTGGAGTCCTTGGCTGCACAAAAGTCGGTGGAAGACCACAAAAAGGTCATCCTCGTAGTCTGTGATGGCCGCGTTAGCACCAAAGGCATGACCAAGACGACTGCTGCCCATCTAATTGAAGACATTATCGAGCGCCCCACCAGCATTCGTATGTCTGACGCCTACACATCATGGGACGGCGCCTCTATGAAAATAGAGCTTGTCAAGGGGGAATTCAGAGGCGTACCAATCGTCTGCCTGGTCAAGAACGAAAACCGCGGCAAACGAGACGGAGTCACCCTCATGCGATCTTTCCTCTACAAGTTCAACCAACGTAAATCGAATCCCGAATTGGCAATGTTCGGCCCAAACCTGTTTGCTGAACTCTGTGGTTTCCTTGAAAGCTTATCGATCCAGAATGTCGACTATGTCGTTGGCATCGACACTGATACTCGGTTCGACGACAAATGCGTCTCCAACCTGATTCAAACTGTGAGAGAAGGCGATAGGATCATTGGCGTGTCTGGCTTCATTCGACCCGACCCCACCGATGTGTCATCGTTTTCACCCGCCTATATTTACCAGAATGCCGAGTACATGGTCGGTCAGTACCGCCGTCGCCTACGCCAAAGTCTCACAAGCGAAAGGGTGACTTGTCTGCCGGGATGCTGCCAGCTGCTACGAGTTGAAGACTCTACATGTGGCGACGACATCACGAAGAAATTCGGATACTATCCCAAGGAAAAAGACGGCCTGTTCCGAACCATCCAATCCATGATGAGCGAGGATCGAGACCACATATGTCTAGTACTATCAGAGAACCCAGATGTCAAAACCCGCCTATGTTTGAGTGCAAAAGCCTACACTGTAGCCCCGACCAAATTCTCTGTCTTCCTAAGCCAACGCCGCCGATGGACCCTCGGCCCCCTCACAAGCGACAGTCTTCTCTTCTGCCGCAAGTACACCGGCTGGACCGAAAGACTCGCTGCTTTTGGCTCCGTCCTAACCTGGATCATTGGTCCCTCCCTCTTCTTCGCCCGCTACCAATGTACGTATCTTTTCCTTTCCCCCCCGCCCCCCAACCAAAAAAAACTACCACTCTAACATTTTCCCTCACAGCCCAACTCGACGCCCGCACCATCCTCGTCCTCATCTTCATCGAAACCTACCGCAAGTTCTGGGACACACTCACGATCTTCATGTGCGCGCAGTCGCTCAAGGACGCAGTGCAATTGGCAGTAGGGGTACTGCTTTACTACCGGGTTGGCCCAATCATTGGCCAAATGACGCAAATGTACACACTGTTCAAGATGGACGATTTCAGGTGGGGCAAGACGCGGATTGCAGTTGCGCATAAATAAGCAATGAGCAAAACAAATAACACCGGATAATAATATCGCGGCAGTGGCCAAGGGTTTCCAAGATCTAGACTCGTATACATCTCCCACGCGCATGGCCCGGTCCGCGGATGCCGTTGCGGCTACGTGAAAATGTGGGTACTTCGGTTACAACACTCGGGAGGGGGGTGTGAGGGGGGGGCAATGCAGTAAGACGGAGATTGAGGCCCTGTTCGGTTCTGTTTTGTGTTTTTTCCCCTTCCCTTTCGGCTATGCCTAATCTGGGCTCCGCCAGGGAAAACGAGAGAAGGGAAATAGCGTCGTTTTTACCCGAAGACCATGCTACGAGACGGAACTCGACTGCATAATTTTCGTTAGCGCAACGCTGATCTCGGAAAGCCCTGTCTAGTAGAGTTTCAATGTACATAACGCTTTCCCTTTCTCAAGCTAAACGAAGCTTCGTTTTCCTGTTAGACCTTGAGACCTCTACCAAGAATCGATAAAAACTCCGTAAGCCTACTACGTGACTAACTCTTTCTGTTGTCACCCTAACCGAGATACGCGTAGTTGCAACGCTAACCAACGTCTACGAATCCAAGTAGAACGGGAGGCGAACGGAGAGGGGAAACAGAGCAACCGAACAGGCCCTGAAACTTTCCAATGGCAATGATTGGTAGCCTCATATATACTTACGGCCCGTAAGCAGTGCTGAAGAGGGAGTGGCGCAGCTTTAGGTACAATTTCACTCTATCTACATATTTATTGCTGTAACTATCCGCTGCTCACTGGCCTAGATTTTCCGGCTGCTTACAACTAACTTCTGTGGCTGCTTACAGCCAGCTCCTGTGGCTGCTTACTACCGGCTCCTGTGACTGTTTATTGCTGGCTCCTCCGGCTCGTCTGGATGGTCTGGCCGGACTAACCGAACTGGCTCCAAGAGATTCTGGTATTCATTGTGTGATTAGGCCCTAGCTAAAGACGAAGATCTCTAACATCTTAGCACGGCTATGGTATAGCTAACAAGGCTCGATACATTGTCTCAAGTGTTGTATAGGCGAAACATGCTTTTCTACTTATCGCGCCAATCCGAAAGCCTTCATTCATAGCTTGATCATCATCACCTTACTCCTCGCAGCAACGCTATTAATCATACAAAATCCCAATAGGGAAACCTAACCTCAAACGTTGTCCCGGTAGAATAACACTAACTCCCTACACAATGAAAAAAACCCGATTGCCCAAACTCAATTCTCATCCTGAGAAAGACAAAAAAAAGCGCCCAAACATGGATCTCGGCTTGAAAGATTTTGCGATTATTGGCTCAGGGTATCGTAAAAGTGTATGTATACGCTCTTTCAAGGAAGCGACAGTGGGCAAAAAACAAAAGATGCTTTGAGGAGAGGTGTGGTGAAAGAGAACCGATAAATGGACGCCGTGCAATGCAGTCTTTTCCCCCTTTCCTTTCCTGCTTGAATGTTCGCCGAGTCTGGAAATAACACTGAGAGAAGAAAATGAGACAATATGTTGTTCGATGAGACGGATGACCTCTGCTGCTGTCGATGATCCTTTCATTATCCCTCATCGTTTGCATCTGATAAGCAATTCCCCGACTCCCGATAATGGATGATTCTATCGCCTCCTCTTGGCATCACCGTGTGCTTGGTCCTGGGGATCGCGGCCTCTCTTGCGACCATCGTCTCCCCCACTTCCTCCACCGTTTCCTCGGCTTCGCCTATCGCGTTCGTCCCTTCCTGAAGTTCGCCCCTCATCGCGGGAGCCTCGCTCACGCCTGCTGCTCTCACGTGGTTCCCGTCCTGACCTCGACTCGCCTTCTCGTTCGCGGTCTCGTCGACTACTTTCTCTATCACCACCACGTTTTTCTCGTCCCCCACGCTCACGCTCAGAGCTGCGCTCGCCTTCTATGCGATCTGAAGTCCCACTACGGCTGCTTCGTTCGTCAGAGCGACGCTCGGGTCGATCTGTTGATCGCTCTCGTCCTGACTTTTCACTCCGTCTGCTGTCCTTGTGGCTACGAGACTCTGAGCGAATCTCTTCCTGCGGGATACCCTCTGCCCTGCTTTGACTGTCATCATTTCTACCACCTCTCTGGTATTGGTTTGGCGTGGAACCATGAGGCGGTGGCAACATGGGACTTGCCGTGCCACCGGATCCATCCATCGGTCCATTGGCCCGGGCAGCTCCGCGACCACGAACTGGTGGGTTGGCAGGCGGGACATTACGATCACCAGACCTTTCAGCAGGCGTGTTCGCCGATAATACATTATTGATAGTCCGTAAAGGGTTCCCACCATTTCTTGACCCCCGGTCTCCAGCTGCAGGGCCCGTAGGAGGACCCCAACCATTTGGCGATGACGGAATTTGGCCCTGAGATGCTCTATTGGAACCTCGTGGACCGCTTGGGGCGTTTGGTATGTTCGTCTGTAGTGGCGGACCATTGGGTCCTCTGCCTTCAATATTAACAAGCCTACTGGGGTGGACGCCTGCAGGTAGTGACGCTGCAGGACCAGAAGGCGCAGTAGGTGTAGGAGGTTGCGACTGTGACGACGTCCGGTCACTGCGGGGTCCTGATGGTGGTCCAGGCTCCGAGGGTTGGTTCAATCTTCCGTAATTAGGATCTTGGGCTTGATGGCCTGAGGACCGTGGGCCAGAGTTTGGTTGAAACATGTCCCTTGACGCACGAGATGATGTGGTGGGATCGTTGCGTCCGCCACGCGGTCCTGTAGGTGCGCCCGATCCCATTTCGTCCCGTCGGTCTCGATTGCTGGGTGGCAGAGGTAGAGAACGGTCATCTCGATGTTCGCGCGGTATATCGCCGCGTCCATGATAGCCAGGCAAGCGCTCCTCCATTCGACGATCTTCCCCGCGCCTGTCATCGCCATGACGAGGAGAGTTCATACGAGAATCACGCTCCCGACGGCTGTCGCGATCAGGTCTTGGTGCTTCGTGTCTGCCATGCTCAACTTGATTGATGAGGGCAGCACGAGCGGGATTAACCGTGGGCTCCTCCTTAGCCGGTATTGGCGCCTGGGGCAGCCGTTGAGGCCTGTCATTCTGCTCCATACCGTAAGGGACATTCGCTGGCGGAACCTCTCGTCGATATTCATTATTGAGTGAGGTGGAAGACGGCATCCGGCGATTCTCCATAGCCGGAGGTACAGGATGCATACGAGGATCAGAACGCTCACGTTGATCTCTCGGGTCTCTGGCATCGCGTGCATCCCAGGTGGGTGGTGGTCGAACTGGTGGCGCTCGTGCATCTCGTAGCGGTGCCCGCAAAGTGCGGTCGTCATAGTCGCGCTCTCTGCCAGACCACTCTCGGCGTTCGGCCGTAGGGGGTATCCTTTCAGGAGTCCTACCATCAGGCATTCGCCCACGACGACCAGGAGATGGCTCACGGTGACGCCCGACGTCGCCAGGGCGGTCCAGTCGGCCATAGTCATTTTGTGGAGGACCTCGGTTGTCGTAGCGGCTATGCGCAGCTTCTGGCGGTCGATCCATAACAGGACGTTCTGATTGTCGTGCCCTCGACGGCTGTGAGTCCGGCCGTGATGGCAAAGCATGCGATGGTCTTCCAGCCGTGGCGGGTTGCATGGGCATGTTCCTACCATCTGGTCTTTGTGGTACAGATGAGGGGTGCATTGGAGGACCCGGCTTAGGGGCAGACCTGCCCATCACCAGCTCTTGTTGTTGAGAGGGAGTAGATGGCTGAGCCTCAGAATGTCTAGATGCGGGATTAATCGCGTCTCTTTCTCTTGAAGAGAGCGCAGGAGTTCCGGGTGTAGAAACATTACGCTTCGATGCGTTATCATCCATGTCTCGTAGAGGCGTTTGCTGGGTTCCGTTTCTAAGAGGGGCGATCAGTCTCATTACTGGGAGTGGCGGTACCAATACTTCACTTACGGTTCAGGAGTTGGCTTGAAAGCAGGTGCAGATGCATTGAGCTTTGCCTCCTGTGTTTGTGAAGGCTTCCTGTTTTCCGTCGCAGCCTTATCACTAGCATTGGTCGTACTTCCGGGAGCAGGTGTTGGTGCAGGTACCTGGGTTACGTCAGTTTGCCGTCGGATACTCAGTGAATTAAGTGGACTTACATTACGGAATACATGGTCCTCCTGCCATGACTTCTCACCCTTGGTGATAGGACCCAGGACCGATTCCAATGATTTCTTGAGATCACCCCTCTCCTCGTTCTTGCTCAGATGTTCGATTGTCTGCTTCAGCTCTGTGCCCAAGCTCTGAACCTTGGGGAAGTTATTGCCCAGAGCATGCAAAATGTTGATGGCATTGCGCATCTGCATGTAGCGACCAGTCTCAAGACAAGTCTTCAGTGAAGTAGTAAGCGACTTGTGCCACTTGAACAACACCATGCAAAACTGATCGTACGTAAAGAAATTCGTGGCGTTCCCATTGGCATCATAACTCCTTCCAAAACCAGGGAGGTTCTTTTCTGGTCCTAGTGCGTTCTTGGCGTACGCATCGTCCTTGTTCTCGTGCCAAACTTGTAGCTCACGAAGTATGTCACTAAGGAATCGACCAAAGGATAATGACTCTGCTTCAGTATACATGCTGATGATGCTTGTAAGTCTGTTGACACTGAAGAGGACGTCCAGCAATCTACTCAAGCGGAATCCAGGAACGCCTGAGCTATGCATGAACATGAGCATGGACGAGGCATATTGCGCGTCCTCCAGCGACATGCGGCTGCGTGGAACGAAGCAGTCTTGAAGCAAAGCATTGTGCAACGCATCACACTGTGGACCCATCATTGGGATACCAGCAAACCATCCCTTGAGCTCAGCCCTGAGGCTGTCTTGTGTCGCGGCGTTGGCTTGTATAACGTTTTGTCTTTCTTCCTTGAGCTTAGGGATTTCATGCTTTGCCCGTCGTGCGGCATCAGTCTCCGCCTTCGGAACGTTGGATCGATAGCCACGACGATCAGGGACTGGGGCAGGCAGCTGCCGCTCGAAGTATTCAATCGTTTCCTTGTACTGTTGATCGATTCCTCC